ATTTGGGGGCAGCAGAATCAGGCTGTGAACACGTCTCCTCTCCTCCTCCCACTATCCAGAAATTAAGCCAAAATATGAAGCCAGATATGAACGCTGCCATCTTGCAACAAAGACATAATTTGGAGTCAGTCTGCTCAGTCCCAATGGGGATAGGAGCTGCAGTATCAAGGTGCCACCCATTCACATGCTCAACCATTTGCAAGTCAGTCTCACCTGTCAATCATGACGTTTCACCCAGTTATATTTTTAGCAGGAAATAACTACTTAAATCAAAATCATCAGACAGATGAAAACTTGAACAAAGATTAATGTGATAAGATCTTACTTTAAAATAACATTAACGACTGGTCGATGTTCCATACACTAACATGGATGAGGCTGGACTTATGACCTATACTGCAGCCAGCCACCAGTTGGCGATTAAGACACCTTGGCTTCACTTTTGGGGAGCAGTCGTGTCGTCCATCTTTAAACACTGTGGGCTACTATCCAGCAGTTATTGAGCAACATTTGCAATCATTTGTATCTGTGTTCACCACCTGATGATTGCAACTTCTATATTAACTCTGAATATTGACTGAATATATTCATCAATGAAGGAAATATCTTTCTCTATCTTTAGCTATACTATCCTTTAGCTGCTACTTGCTAACTTTATTTGTAGTGGATTTACAGTGTACAGTGGATTTATCACAGTATCCTTTTGCACCTATTTACCGATGCAGGCAGTAAACAAGGTAAATGGGAGCGGTGGGAATGAACTAAAGAATGAACTAAAGTCATTTAATTAAATACAAACAGGACCAAAAAACTAAACAATGGGCTGAAAGACAATAAAGAGCCCTGTAGAACTGCACTCGGTCTTGATCATAGTTATTAACAATAACAACAGATTATTTACTTACTAATATTCAGAGAATCAAAATAAATCATCCATGTGAATATTAAAAAAACCTAGAGTTACTTATGTTGAAAAACAATGAATGTTACTGTCGATTATATAAACTGTTGTTCTGTAATACTCTGCAGCATGTGCTGCTCCCAAAACTCCCATTTTAACAGAGGAGCATCGGGGTGAGCTCTGTGTCAGATGTGATCTGTGCAACTGATGGGGGTTGTTTGTCATCCATGACTACCTGAGGCACTGTGGCATTTGTTCTTAGCTGGGGTTATTTAAAGCCTCTGGGATTTATAGGACTGTGCTGCAGTGATGGTGTCAAGGATCACTTCAGCCTGGCTCGTGTAAGGGGCTGACATACTGCAGGAGAGATTGCCCTTCGCTCGATGATTTGCTTCGAGAACACAATGTGTATGGATTTAGGGTTTGCGGTGAGTGAGGAGTCGAAGGCAAAATGGAGCCACTTCATCAATACAGTGTGTTCGCTTTGATTTTAATTGACTGGAAAAGTTGAAAAGATGGATCAGACTTCAGGTGTATTCAAATTTTATATTGACAGCTGTCAACTTTTAAAACTACAAAGAGGATATAACTTGGTGGACGGATGTGGTATGTGTCAGGAGAGAACTCGTTCATTTAGGTGCAGATCTGGATCAGGGGGCAGATCAAGGATTATTTTTCTTTAATATTTCAAGCCAGTGTTTTTCTACATTTTCACCATCTTTGGAGAGAATAATTCATCTTGATGAAAAAAATCCGGCACATTTCAGGGAATGATTTAATGAGTGTGTGTAACTCAGTGCAGCTTGGTGGACACGTGTGATCTTCTGAGTACTATTTTTGTTTCTTTGTCTCTGTTTTTGAAAAAAGACCATTACATGACATCATACACAATACCGTTCATATAACAGAATATCGTGAATGAGGAATTCATAAATCATACATACAGTATATTCCCACATACATTAAAAGAAGGTAATTGTCACCTATGCTCAGAATGCACCACCTCCTCCAGCACAAGAGCTGCAGCTGTAGAACAAGGGGTGCAGATTTTGATTGATCGGTGCATCACTGGTTTTTTTTCTTCTGCCTTATACAATATGCACATATATGAATGCATGTATGCTGTGGCAAGGAATAACATCCATGCTGGATTATGGTTAGTGTTGGCAGCAGTAAATCTTTTAACAACCACACTAACAATGAGCAGGGAACAGGAAACACTGACACCTCATTTTACACTAACAGGTGAATTATACATACATCTGTGCTCTGTATTGTAATTTACAACATTTTCACCATCAATACATACTATATATCATCATGATCTATAAATAATGTATCTCTATTATTCATTGCTTCCACCCATTTTTCCTCACTACTCTCTGTAAGTAACTCAGAAAACAATACTTTTCTGTCCTATTTGCATTAATTATTGTTACATAATGTTTTGGGGCCTTGGACGATCATATTTATAAAAAGATATTACTGTAAGACATATCTTTTCTTTTATAGCATACCCATTACCCAGGAACTCATAACGTCAAGTAGAGTAGGCAAACACACTTAGTACAGAGCAAGCGCAAGAACAGTTTTTGAAAGCAATTTAGATGTTGAACAGGAGAGTGGTATGAGTTTATTCGTCTGTTTACTAATTTAACATTATAATTAATTATTATTTTCATTTTGTCATTTTGTCATTGTTGTCATTACAGTATTCCCTGCCCTGCCACAATTTCACTCACCATTAAAGTTAGATATCAACAAAGTTCTGAACCCTTTTTCCGATTCACTATAATATATATAAAATCAGTCATCATAGTAATATTCTTATTTCTATATTTAATTTGAGAATTTCTATGTTTTTAGTCCTTGACAATAGACCTATGACTAATAACACGGGTTCACAAAAGATAAATATCCTCATGTCATTATGAGATACTGCAGTGGTTACCTTGTGTGTTGTAAATCTTTCTTTCTTTCTTTCCCGTCCTGCTCGTCTCTTTCTGTCCACCATGTCTTGCTATGTTGTGGCTGGTTCCTTTTAAAATGTATCTTTAAGCCTTCCTACACCACAGAGGCTATTAAACATCTGTTGAAATCAGTTTTGGTCAAGATAAATTAAAAAAACTAATAAAAATACACAAAACGAATTGCTCCCCAAACATTGTTAAGCATGGACATGGGAGCTCCAGCAGCAAAACAATTCATCATTAATGGAGCACTTTATGGATTTACACAGGCAGTGACACATAAAATTATTAACATTTTTCCCACAAGAAGCAGCTGTATAATATCTCATGTATTAACAAGCCTATGTCTCTAAATCCAAATATGGCCTTATATGTGAATCCAGTTGCTTTATGCTTTGTAGAAAGAGACAAGGGGCAGCAGTCTAAACAGTTGATAGAGTGTGTTGAATTAAAGAAGTCATCAAAGAGAAATCAAATATTTCATGTGACAGCGAGATAATGTTTCAGAAATGTTTGGAACATGTTATCTGTTCTTGTTCTACCTTATCACCTGTGATGGAACAAAACAAATCTGCTTGTCTGTTCGTTTAGGCACGTGTGCTGTGACAGAAATTTTCCATTATAGGTTTTCTTCCTCTCCAGATTGCAGAAGCTTCTCTGGCCACACGTCATTGTGCTGAACTTTCCACCAGCCCATCAACTTTCCACTTATCAATCATATTGAAGTACTGGCCCGCTGTCAAAAAAAACAATTTCATGTCGCAACAGTGCTACGCAGTTGTCCTGACGTTTAAGTCTAAATCAAAGAAATGTTCACCTCTCCCCTTCTGTCAACTGCAAGAAAAATCCAGATGTGACTGACAGAAGTGGAGATTGCACAAGAGAAGTACAACAGCCATTCCAAGTTTCAATAAATTGAGTCATTTCATATTGACATAGTGGCTAAAATCAAGTCCTGCGGCGCACTTCCTCCCAACTTCTGCAGCATTTCTGCCCTTCTCTAAAAATTATGTGCATATAAATCATCTTTCTTGAGTGACATGAGCCCCGAGTCACAGTGTCAGGTACACACCCACAGAGCTGTTGTTGATGGTGGCAAATCATTTCACCGTTCTGCCTCTCTCGGACAAATTACGGCTCCCTCAAACGGCCTCCACTTGAAACAGGAGTGTGTGGGGACGGTGTGAAGAAGCAGTTAACAATCTGTTGCTCAAGCAAGAGAAGGTGCAAAGGATGGGTTTAAAATAGCTCCAGGGTGTTAACTGCAGAGGGATCTGGACGGAGGTTTTAATCGTGATGATTTTTGGATGTGCATTATTGCAGATGTAGAGACATGGGACCTGGGTTCCGTAGATTATGAGACATGTAAGACAAAGTTCATCAGTAGCGTGTGGTCTTGCAGGACAACCCTGACATGTCATTGAGTGTATCAATATTCATACTTACATGCTAGCAGAGAAAATGATTTAAGTTATATAATTTATGTGTGCATAGTTTTGTTTGGGCAAATACTGCAATTTCAGTGGAGTAGGAACAGATGACATGCTCTGTACTTGACATTATGTGCGTGTGTTCAGCAACAATCCCACTTTTCATTCAAGAACCTCACAGTCTGTCCACAGATCATGACAGGATGTGAAAACTTCACTGTGCATTGCCCACAGTGTCCACAGGCACAGTGCACTCTACTGTGGAGAGAAAACACAGTGATGTCTATCCACAGGCTTGATACTGAGTCCACACAATTCACACAAAGTCCTACAGGAATTTTGAGCATTGGACTTCAATGACATATCACATCAGTTGTATATTACGGGGATATTTTTGCTTTTGCGCATTTGCATCTGCGTCATTACGCTTAGCCTACATGTGCTCGACAATAATGTATGTGATGTCTCTCACACATTTCTGGCCTTCATGCTGGTGAAAGCAGACCAAGTGTGCAAAATTTCAAATCTCTCAAGTTCCCCCCCATCGGCCCCCTTGCGCGCGCGTGCGTGCGTGCCACAGAGAATATCTTATGTAACATGTTCGCAAGCACATCACATCCCCGCCTGTGCGCAGCGCTGTGTGGAGTAAGGTCGCTTTAAGAGCTGTATCTGAGCTGCTATCAGTGATCCTGACAGGACGCCTCCTGTCTCCTGCTCGACCCAAAACTCTGCGTGTCTCACTGGATGCGAAGCAGAGCGCCAAGTCCCGGAGGAGAGAAGACCTCGGTAAGACCCTCTGAGTAACAGACTGAATTCAATGTGGCATTTGGTGTTGGAACTCTTTTTTTTTGTGTGCAGGGTAAACTGAGAGTAAGATGTCTGTTATAGATTTTAATGTGTTTTTTTATTATCACAATTCCAGATGGAAGCTCTGATTGCTTTGATGTTTCAGCCTGTTTTAAAAATGTATGTATTTCAACGTGCGTTTGGTGAGTTTACACACTGGTGCTGTGAATCCCTGAGGTGTCAGTCTGTGTATGAGCTGTATAGTGATGAGATGAGTAGCCTTCTCACTTTGCTGATCTCCATCTGACGCGCTCCAAGTATAAAGTAGCTCTGGTTCAGTTCATGGACACCCAGCTGGTCTTTAAGGGTGGAAATGAGTGATGGGTCTCCACTGCCCCCCACGACAGGGGAGCCGTCACACACACACACACACACACACACACACACACACACACACACACACACACACACACGGTGTAAGGGTACACTGGAGGACCGGGGAGTCTCCTCCACCTGTCCAGAGCTGAGAGTCCACCTCAGAGCGCGCACACAGAGGATCAGCTGTGTGTGTGGGATCCACTCACAGGAACCTCTCCACACTTTCCATCCCTACATGTGTTTTCCAGCCTGATGGTGCCCGATGTTTATCTGTTTTATTTTGCATGAACTATTCCCGACTGGTGGCTATTTATTAGTGTGATTTTGTGCAGGGGACTGAACATAGCGGAGATCGTTGGTTCAATTTACATACATCTCTCCGTTTTGAGACTAATCTACATGAGCGATACAGTTTGATTGTCTATCAATCAATAAAATTGTATTTGTACAGCCCACACTCGCAAATCACACTTTCTGTCATATGCCTTATTTATGTACTTATTACTTTTGTGTAATCTGCAGCTTGTGCTTTATAATAAGTCTTAAGAATTAAGAATTAATTGTGTCCTTTGTAAATGTCTTTGTTCCATTTATGAACTTCCCTCAACACAAAGCATGCATCACTTTGAGTTTCCAATTCCTACCACAGTAATATTCAGCATCCAGGCTGCAGCATGGCCATCAGTCGCAGACCATACATCCAGAAATTCACTTGAAGTCAGGCTGACACCCAGGAGGGGATTAATTATCCTGAAGTCTAAACACAGAAGCCTGTGAACCACAGAGGAATTCAAGTGGCATTAGCTCCAGCATGTACAAGTGTGTACTTTGGTTATTAAAATGCTGTCTTTGGTTGTAATTAGTGCAGATGAAACAGCACATTATAATGACATTACTGCTCATAACAGAGACAGCCACAAGCAGCTGATGTCCTGCCTGTCAACATCTGTCATTGTTAAACTTTAGATTTCATTCTGTTGCGTAGCTGTGTATAAAACTCATTTCTATCCATGTGCTAAATATCCTGGTTCATCCCTTTTATTTTATATTTTATTTTTATGTGTGAGAGTATATATGCACACTTACACACACAGTTCAGACTGGCCTCGCTGTAATAAAATTGTGTTTCTTTTTTCCCAGTACATTATTTAGAAACTGTACAGACCACATGTGCGTCAGAGTCTAAATGACAGGTGTGAGTTCCTTTATGGACACAAAGAGAATGAATTCCTTCTGTCAAAAGAAGAGAAAACAGTGAGGGGGAACAATCGTCTCTGAAAGCCAAAGCCATTATCAGCATTATTGTGATGGAAATTTCAATCAGCATGTCATTATAGTGATTCCCACTCAGTCTGTGCTGTTTTCTTGATGATACACATCAGTGCATCATTTATTCTTATAGCCTGTKCTRGAGGAAACAGAAAATCTGCATTCTGTCAACAGCCTCATGATACTGAATGTCTGTGTAATAGTGAAACCACTGCTGATGAGTACAAAGGTGAAATTGGACCAGTGACTATGTATCAGCCCCAAAAAGACACGTGTGGAACTAGAGGAGTGAATATAAAATCCCCTCCTGCAGCATGAGAATCACTGTCTGCCACAAACCCTCATTTATAAGAAATGGGTGAGGGTCAATTTTACATGAGCTACATTTCAATTTGACTGATAACCCATCCCAAGGGTTTATAACATTAAAAAGAAACTTTTCCTGGCAGAAAATGTACTAATTTCTTGTTCTTCATTTCGCAGGCAGAAAATGAAGATGGCTGTAATGACGTCCAAAGATTAAGGATGAGGGAAAACTGAAAAAAAAAAAATATAATTCACAAAGTAATTACTCTAGGTTTGACACAACAAATTAGTTGAATTAATTGCCAGTGTTTGAAGTGAGGAAGGAGAAGCATCATGGAGCTGCAGCACAGCACCAATCACAACCAAGCCTTGTGGAAAGAGATACCGTGGGATTTCGGGGAGGAGTGCTCACTCTCAGTGAGCGGCACCACGTTCCTCATTGTAGCTTACAGCACAGTATTGGCAGTAGGTCTCATCGGGAACTCTTGCCTGGTGTTTGTCATCACTCGGTACAAGGAGATGCGCAACGTGACCAACATCTTCATCGTCAACCTGTCTTGTTCTGATATCCTCATGTGCATTTTCTGCCTGCCGGTCACTATTATCTACACTTTGATGGACCACTGGATCCTGGGAGACACCCTCTGCAAGCTCACGCCCTTCATCCAGTGCATATCAGTCACTGTCTCCATCTTTTCTCTCGTCCTTATCGCCATGGAGCGCTACCAGCTCATTGTCCACCCGACTGGATGGAAGCCTGTGGTGGGCCAGTCCTACCTGGCCGTGGCTGTCACCTGGATTGTGGCCTGCCTTATCTCCGTGCCTTTCCTCTCATACAGCGTACTTGCCCTGCCTTTACAGAACCTGAGCGCCCCCTTTCTAGTTGGCGATCAACTCGTTTGTATGGAGCGGTGGCCGTCACTCGAAGAACGCAGAGCTTACACCACCTCCCTGCTCATCTTCCAGTACTTCCTCCCACTCATCCTCATCATGGTCTGCTACCTGCACGTCTACCTGCGCCTGAGGAGAAGGAAGGACATGGTGGAGCGCGGCAGGAACACCACTCAAAAGAAAAACAAGGGCTCCACAAGGATCAACGCCATGTTAATCTCCATAGTGGTGGCCTTCACCATCTCCTGGCTCCCTCTCAACATCTTCAACACTGTGTTCGACTGGAACCACGAGGCCATCCCGTCCTGTAGCCACGACATCATCTTCTCGTTCTGTCACCTCACGGCCATGGCCTCCACCTGCATCAACCCCATCATCTACGGTTTCCTCAACAGCAATTTCCAGAAACACCTCAAATCCACTCTGTTGCACTGTCGCTGCTGGGGGGTGGCAGAGCGGTACGAGAGCGTCCCTCTCTCCACTGTCAGCACAGAGGTCACCAAGGGGTCTATCTTGAGCAATGGATCTATCAGCATCAATTCTTAATTCCAAGCCTTTTCAGTAAAAGAGAAAGAAACTACTGGGGCCACTCCAGCCCTCATTGTGTCATTCTTAGGAGCTTCGCTTGCTTCATTGCGTGCAAAAGCGAGGTTGACATTTACAAAGTTATAAACCTCACAATAGCAGTCCAGAGGGAGTGGACTGTAGACACTTTAACCACATGGCAGAGCGCCCACAATTTAGTAGAGGAAGTAGATATCAAAATGATGGTACAAAGGTTGGACAAGTTTAAGTATTGTGGGCGACTGCAGACAATTTACATAAGCACTTTTGCAACTGTAGTCTGTGTAGTTGTGGAGCCACTGGAGTTTTGAAAATACAAAAGGTTTGGGGTTGTGTTGCTGTTTTATGTTAATAGTATTAATGAAAATATGAAGGGGTTGTGAACTGTGTTGTGTTAGAGATCATCGACACAGTAGCAGAACAGAAGGAGAGGACATTAGCGTTCTAAATGTGGCTCTGGGCGTTCATTTAGCCCGATTTACTCGCATCACCTTAATGCATTTCTTATTACCTGATATCCCAGCAAACTGTGTAATAATCTTTCTCAAACAACCTTGGCAAGAGCAATGGTACGCATCTCTGCTGTCTGCCAAGGTCTGCGTTCTGCTGTACTATTTGTAGAATGAGTTGTTTTATACAGCAACCTTATGTATGAAGTGCCATAAAACAGAATAAAATGGAAGTGAGGGACTTTGTCTTCTGCTGTATCTAACATTATGAAATATATGTATGCCCTGTAAAAGATGTGACACATTTATAGTTTATCGATGTGGTTGGCAATAAAGAGCACCGTGTAGCATAGCAGATATCTCCTAGGAAACCTGTTGTTGGTCACTTTGTGGTGCTGGACTAAATTAAAACACTCACTATTATCTTTAATGACAATGTCTATGTTGTAATATTGGATCTTAATTTTTACGATTTGTTTTTTATTTGGTTGTATTGCATTTTTGTTCTTTTTCTTCGTCAGGTCCATCTTGCTTTCTGAGTATGTGTTAAGCCAAAATTGATTTTTGTTGTCACCTTAAAGGTCAGTTCATCCACATTGTTCTACAGAAATCTGATTGGTCCCAAGTGCCAAATTCACACACAGAGACAAGTTGTCCACAGTAGGAAACACTGTGGAATATCACAGTCTGGATGAAACAGCCTCGATGCTGATCCACACTTGCATGGCATGGTGTTCTTTATTATGGAATGTACATTAAAAAACCCACCACAAAAGTTTTTTTTTTGTTTGTGTCTGAGGTCAAATTCAGTGCGCTGCCTGTTTGTGCATTATTCAGGGGGAAGTCTGAGATAACAACACATTTTTGATGCGTTTGTGTTGAATAAATCAGTGTGGTGTTTGTTGGCTTAAATGCACAGGAAGGGGAGGGGAAAAAAACTGTGTGAGAGATCAATGGGGTTTGTGATAAATATTCATGCTTAGGGAACACATGTTAACAATTTCACTTTTATCTGTCTGAAATTAGAAGCATGTCACTGATTCAGGAAGGAGAAGTGGTAAGGAATCTGCTTCCTGGGGGCCTTTTAGTTTTAATGGTGTCGTAAGAGGTCAAGTGTGGGACATTACAGTTTTAGACTCTGACAGTGTCTCAGATAATCCTCCAAACTGTTTTCCCAGAGGCAGCAGAGCTCTCAGAGGTCCTTGTCAGTATAATGGACTGTGTGCTTCTGCTGCTTTGGCCCCACCTGACCTTTACCAGCTGTCAATCCCCTCACCTCTCCATCCTTCCTTTCACCTGTCTGTCCTTTTAAAAACACCACTGAATGAAGTCACAGTGTTTCATTTTGTCAGGAATAAAGAACCCAAGATGCCAAGAGCTGCACACTGTCTCCGGTGACACTTGACGATGAGTGGAACTCAAATGATGCCGCTGTATGATGTTTCCCCAAGTAGCTGTGAAGGGGCTGTGGGCACATTAATGTTCTTTATAATGACGCTCAGCTGGAGACAAACACTTAATGGCTCTGTGGGGCTGGACTCTCCTCGCCAGTGGAGCAGTTTCAGAAAAATGAACATCTTGGCTCTCAGCATAATTCAGAGAGATTCTCAAACAAGCAATCTCCGCAGATAACAGGAACAACATGAACTGCGTAGTTGGCGAGAGATTTCAACAAGCTGTTGTTTGGAGCTCTTAAATTCTCGTCAGTCCCATATTTTTGCCTGCCTTACTACTATGAGAGTCGGGCATAATTCATCCCGCGTTGCCTTGTTCCCGTATTAATAACAGCTTTCTAACTGCTGCTGCTTTGTAGAAGAAAGTCTTTCAACCCTTTTGTGTGAATCTATCTCCCTAACCAATTCTTGTAAAGATCAGGAGGCTGCAGTTTTCACCACATGTAGGATCTACAGTATATGTGAATCTGCAGGGTCTTTACTGAGCCTAGGGACATAATATGAGGTGACATGATAGAGATATCTTACAAAATGATTTTTGAAATTAAAAAAATTAATTGTATGCAGTGATGTCAGATTTGAAGTAATTTGCCTCATACGCATTTGATCCCTTGTGCCATATGAAAATATCAAAGGTAAAGCCTGACTCTGGAATCCTGATCATGATATAACACACAGGGCTACACCAGACAGGACACAGAGACAACTCACGTAAAGGAGTCAAACATCATGGATCAGGTCCGTCCAAAATTCCCCTGTTTTCTTATCTTTCTATTGAATTGCCCTAATGGTTCCAGTTTTTCCTGTCTTCACATCTATCAAGAAGTGTTTCTGGGAGTATTTCCTGGTTATACCTCTTTATTGGTTTGAATTTCATAACAGCATGATAACAGAGCAGCCTGTTTAATGAGTCATACACACAAACAATCTTTCAGAGTAAATTCATGACAAAACAGTCCAACGTCTCTAAAATATGAATTT